AGCAGTCTCCGCTCTCCAACAATCCAATAGCAAGAACGACAAAAGTCGTTTCCAATGGACAATAAACAAGAGCGGTACGGTACAACAATTCGAAGGAAATAAGCTGAACACTCCAACTTGCCGCCTGTCGGACCCACCACCAATTCCAAAACGAGACAAACAAGGTTGCACAATCTTCAGACTAGTTGACTTTGTAATGGTACGAATTGTGTTTACGACTTTGACCCAATAAATATTGAGATAAATATCCCATCAAGCATTCTACCACCGAGCCGTCGAAACATCTTGCATGTAATAAATATTATTATTACTCACAAAAAGGGCTGTTCCCGCTCAAGCTCAGTCGAGAAGCACATATCTTAACTTCCGAACAGCGGCAATCGACTTTTGGCAAAAAGTGTAATAAAGAAAGAGACATTTTATAGCAACTTTTTGTTGTGAGTATTTGATAAGAAAGGGACAAGCTGTTTGTGAGTAATAACAAAAGGGCACTAAAACGAGTGCAACCTCTGCACGTGCGGTTTTTCGTCGGTCATAGAAGCTAGGTTGCCGTCAAGACCCCACTGCATTACATTTTGTTTGAAGTCCCTGCACCTCAATCCCTTTTTTCTCTTTGAATAGAAGTTCGATGGATTTTTTGACAGTTTTACAGCGAAACCATAGTTTTCAATCGCTGAATTGTTTTTCCCTGGCATCGAATTTTTTCGTTGCTGCTTTGTGCTTATAAAATGATGGATCACGTACATTGCACCCTTTGTGATTTGTACTTTGGGCCCTTTGAATGGTTCATAGAGCAACTGACTCCTTTACGAAGTTTTTTCAAGAAAGTTCATAGGCTGAAAAAACACGAAGGGTAAATTGTCGATATCCGGTGCCTAGTCTTTGTAGGTGAGCTATGACATTTCGACAAGTAAGCCCGACGTAATCGGCCGAATAACGATGAAAACAAAGAGCATCTAGCTCTTGACTGTTTTTCCTATCTGCAGTCGTCTTGGCTTTAAATCACACCGCAGAGACGTGGACACTACCGAGTTAAGTAAGCGGTCAGCTTTACTCGTTGGCTGTGGGATGATTAACGACTGCCAGTCCGGCGATCGGACTTCTCCCGAGAGCTCTGAGCAGGGGGAATAGTGTTCTCTGTTCCCCGAGGAATTTGAGTTTAATGGAACCAGACCACAGGTGATATGGTCCCATCTCATCACTTGAGCTTGATTCACAAACTGTTTTTTTTTTTTTGAAGTGCATGTGCTAGCATGTGACTGTAGACCTCAGTAGGCCTTAGTTAGTCTAAAAGGGACCTTATTTTGATTCGCTTTCGTTTCACAGTTGCTGTTAGTGTGTATTTTATGTACAGTACATATATGGTCCACTTAATTAGCATTTTTATTACAGTGTAGCGGTCGATCAGGAGGTAGTGATTGGCGAAGGCGAAGACCATGAATATTGTGATTTGGAACCATTATCTTATTCATTTATTGAATATGGGCCTTTCTCAGAGGTGCAGTATGAGGTGTGGTTTTCTTTTTCGTTATTTGAGNTTTCATCGTTGGGACTTTTTCCCAGAATGAAAAAGATTCCCATTTCCATCTCCGAAGTGCTAGTTCAATTTCATATGAGTACTGACAATGAATCCTCTCCGGAATCCAGCTGTTATCTTCCGAGCCTGCTGAGTTTATACGATATTGATGGATTGTTTATGGCACCATATAGTTCAGCGGAAGAAACCTCGCATATGTGATTCTCCACGTGAACCTATAGCTTCGCTTCTTTCTTCATCCCCAGGCCACACTTTTAGTGGGAGCTAACCATTGACTATCGTTCGAGAGGAATTCTCAATCATTAAAAAAGAGCAAATTAGTTAGCCAATATTCTCATTTTAGGCCTCCTTGACGGAATCCAATGACGGTTTAGATATACTTGTCGATCATGTAGAAGTTGTTAACTCTTCCTCAGCAGAAGTGAGTCAGTTTCGTGGACTTGTGCCCAAATTCAATTATTCGGAGAGAGCTTATTTTAAGCGCTATACTTCCGATAATCCTCAGGAATTGTTGGTCGTCTCGAATGAAGCAAGTGAAAAACCACTGAAGCCACCAAAGTACAATTTACTTTCTAAGTATTTTTTGATGTCTTGTGATCAAAAGTTGTATGACTTCAGTGTCTACGTGAAACGCGATCGGACATGGAAATTTCAGAAGAATACAGTTGTTGCCACGTGCGGAGAAAATGGGTAAATAGTTTTGTCATTCTCTTACTATTTGCGGTAGCCCTTTGCAGGCACGTGCACTGAACTTATTGTTAGAGAAATATACAACCTCATCATTTTTAGTAGTTGCTGCCAGCAATTCTTTGTTGACGAGAAGGAATGCACTAATGGGGAACAAACTATGATCCTTCCTCTCTTCTTTTTTTATTCCCTTCCTTCCGTGGACATCAGATGATGCCGTTTCTTAGGATTTCACATTGTTTCAGCACTTTCGTTTCCTTCTGCTCGATCTTTTTGCAATAAATTACCTCCCTAACAACTATTATCGTCCATTTAGCTAATAACCCGACTGTAGACAGCCCTGGGTTGTGCCTTTGTTTACAACGACGGTACCACGCTATTCACCTTCTCTGCCCTTCTTTTCCTCTTTCGTACCCTGCGCCTCTTTCCAAAACTGAATTAAACTTCATATCAGTTTGCCGTCTGCCACCTCGTCGATCTGCTCTGCATCCTTACCTCTGGTTATGCGACATTGTGTGGCAGGCAAATTAACTAATCTCCAGCTTGTATAATTCCCTTTCAGCCAGTTTTTCTATCATCCCGATCCGTTCTCTCCTGTACCGCCTTTCAAAGGGGCGCCAAGCGCAGTGAAAAGGATGGAGTATGCTGCGAGAAGAATAGATAATCGGAAATACAGGTTCGTTGGGTATTGAATAACCTATTTAACTACACTTTAAATTGCATGAACTGAACTGGGTTTTAATGCTTAGTTTAATTTTGTTGGGCGGCATTGCAAGGTGCATTCTAACACCGCAGGATTTTCTCGTTTTTCTATTCTTATGCCAATAGCTAAGGCGGAGGCGGTGTAGTGGCAAGTGGCGCACTATATCACAAGCACGATCAGGGGCTCGAATCCCGGATCGATGCCCGCCTGGGCCAACCAAGCCTTCCATCCCTCCGGCGTCGGTGNNNNTCTTTGTATAGGCCACATACGCACTCACTACGATTCTGAATGGATGTCGAGTGCGGGGAGGCATCCCTCAGACGGGATTGATTAACGCCAAAAACTGTATCCTTTACTTTATGCCAGTAGTAGAAGCCAATATCTGAACCAGAGAATGGCTAGCCTTTTTCAAATGTACGTTTGCTTTGATAGGGTTGAGGGTGTAGGGATAGTGGGTTGTCCCAGAAGCACCTCTTGGTGTAGCAGAATTACTGATCGAGACCATTTTTTTGAAGTCCTATTATTGTATTTCAGGGATCAGCACAGCAAAGTTCTAGCGTCCGACCAGTTGGACAGTGCAACGTGTTCCAAGTTAGTTTGCTTTCCTTGAGTAGTCTGCACGGCCGTGATAAGAATGTTTGGTAGATCATTTATCTGCTCATACTAGAATACTACTCTTACCATCGTTTACTACCACTTCAATGTACAGGGGGAGGAGAGAAAACATGGTTGTGACCCGTAAGCGACGCTACCCCATGCCCATCAAACCAATGATCGTATTCTTCCCAGTTCAAGTCTTCCATCAATGTGAGGTTTCACAACTGACTTAAGTTTTTTTTGGAGTAGTGAAAGTCGCGCTTGTGTGATCCTTGTCCAAGTGTATACATATCCTACTTACTATAAAGCGCTTCGTCTGTCGCCTGTCGTTATGTCTGTCTGTCTGTCTGTCTGTCTGTCTGTCTGTCTG